ATCTGTAGTCCTACAACAAAACAATACTGGGCACTCTGGGATTCACTTCACATTCAAAACGGCGTCTTATACCGGAAATTCGAATCGGATGATGGGAAGACGTTCCGATGGCAACTGATATTTCCAAGATCCCGGATTCCTGATGTCCTAAAGAACTACATAACAGCCTACAGGAGGTCACTTTGGAATTATGAAGACCTTACAGAGAGTTCGTGAGCGCTTTTACTGGAATAATGCAAAGGATGACGTGCAAAAGTGGTGCCGATCTTGCGATGCCTGTGCAGGTCGGAAAGGAACGACGAAACGCAGCCGAGGCAAGCTGCAACGTTACAACGTAGGTGCGCCGTTTGAACGTATCGCCTTTGACATCTTGGGACCTCTGCCACGAACAGATGATGGCCACAAATACATACTCGTTGTCATTGATTACTTCACCAAGTGGCCTGAAGCTTATCCTATTCCTGATCAAGAGGCTGTCACAGTAGCTGAGGTAATGATACAGCACTGGATTTCCAGGTTCGGAGTCCCTCTTCAGTTACATTCCGATCAGGGAAGGAATTTTGCCTCGGCAGTAATCAAAGAACTATGCAAACTACTCGGCATTGACAAACTCAAACGACGCAATTGCATCCCCAGTCGGACGGCATGGTAGAGAGGTTCAATCGAACCATCCTTAATAACCTCTCATTAGTGGTTTCCAGAAACCAACAGGACTGGGACAAGAAATTACCACTCTTTTTACTGGCTTACCGCAGTGCTGTCCACGAGACTACCGGCTATACTCCATCACAGATGCTCTTCGGTCGTGACCTTCGTCTGCCTTCTGATCTCTTGTTTGGTCGCCCTCCGGATGCTCCTTCATCGTCTGAGGAATATATTCAAGATCTACAGGCCCGGTTTGAAGTGATGCACAACTTTGCACGAGAGCGAGTCAACTTGGCGACGGAGAAGATGAAGACCCGATACGACACAAGAGCTACTGAACATCAATTCCACGAAGGAGACAAGGTGTGGTTGTGGAATCCGACTCGACGGAAGGGACTCTGTAAGAAATTACAGGCACCTTGGGATGGTCCGTACACGGTCCTAAACAGGCTGAATGACGTCGTGGTTCGGATCAGTAAGTCTTCGAACTCTAAACCTAAAGTCGTTCATTACGACAGATTAGCTCATTACTATGGCCATAGTACGTAATGTAAATAATTGTAAATAGTATAAAACCATGGTCCTTTTTGTTTTTAAATGTGTATTTGATTTGATTTGTATTTAGTATTTGATTTGTATTTGATAGCATTTGATTTGTTTTATTTATTGCATTTATTGTTCATGTTGTTTATTATTGTAATGTAATGCTTATTAATGCATTTATGCCACAGTTGTAAGTTTAGCTTCCTGTCCAGGGATTGTACTGCCCGGGACGTGCAGTCCTTGGGAAGGGGGCAGTGTTACGAATTTGGTATTTAAAAAGCTAATGTTAGTGCAATTATAAATTAAATGGTTTTATTTCTCGCGCAGTGCAGCGCGTGACGAATATTAAAAGAAAGCTAAGCCGGAAAATTGAAAATACCAGAGCGCGTGCATTAAATAAATAAATATCTCTTTTTGATTTCGAGAAAAAGTACTGGAAAATTCTAGCGCGTGATTTTAAAATCTTATAAAAGGAGGAAAAAACATCTCAGTTTTAGTAGTTGCTTAGTTTGTTGTTGTTTAGAAAAAACTGCTCTTGTTGATTGTAGCGAATTCGCGGATTAGCGTTCTTTAGCTGTTTTGAATTACGTTCTATTAGACATTTGAGTAGTTAAAAGATAACTACTGTGAGATATTGTAATACTGCATGATAATTTGAGAAAATTTAAGAATTTTTTGTTTGTGATAATAATAAATTTTTGTTCGTTTTTCATCGGACTTGTGCATTCATTTCATAACGAACCCGTACGCACGCAAAATAAGGGATTCAAGTGCTAGTATTGATATACGCTGGTGTGCAAAAATTAAGGACGAATTCGAAAAATTAGCATATCAGCTGAACGAAGAGGCAGAGTGGACAGAAAGACCAATCAGGAGATTAAGTAAGGTGATGTACGGTAGAACATGCGCAGATATGCAGGTAGACGTAATGAGGGAGTGTCTGAGTAGTATAAAGCATGCTGTCGGTGTAAGATCAGTATTTCTGGCAAAGAGATTGCACGCCGTATAGCAGTTAAAATCACACCGAGATGCTGCCTCAGCAAGAAATGGCAAATAATCAATCTGTTAGACGACATCTGGATGCTTTTACCCGAGGTTGAATCATTGGGAAGTTGGAGGAAGGCCGCAGTGTGACAAGTGTGGCTGCAAAGTTCGGAATTGCTCAGAGCATCGTTTCACGACTTTGGAGAGAATTTCAAACTACAGGAACAGCTATCCGGGGGTTTAGTAGTGGTCGTCCACGAGGAACCACACCCGCAGATGACCGGTATATTGCCTTACAGGCCAGAAGAAACAGGCGGCAGACAGCGGGAGAAATCGCTAGATACATGACACAGGCGACATGACGACCGATATCGCTTTTTACCGTGGCCAGAAGACTGCACAGTGGTGGTCTGTTTGCACGACGCCCTGTACGGTGTGTACCTCTAACGCCTGCCCATCGGAGAAGGCGTTCTCTGTGGTGCCGGGAACACCGGAATTGGAGAGACAATGAATGGGGACGAGTACTCTTTACAGATGAGAGCAGATTCAGTCTGAGTAGCGATTCTCATCGCATACTCATCTGGAGAGAGCGGGAAAGCCGCAATCATCCCTCGAACATCATTGAAAGGGACAGGTATGGAGGTGGCGGTGTTCTCGTTTGGGGAGGCATCATGCTTGGTAGTCGTACAGACCTTCACATCTTCGACGCAGATTCAGTCAACGGGACCCGTTATTGTAACGAGATTCTTCTTCCATATGTGCGTCTTTTCAGAGGCGCTATGGGTCCGCAGTTCCTTTTCATCGACGACAATGCATCATGTCATCGCACAGTAGCTGCCGAACAGCTCTTAGAGAGTGAGGATATTGAACGTATGGATTGGCCGGCACAATCTCCGGATCTCGATCCCATCGAGCATGTATGGGATTTTCTAGGCAGACGCTTGGAAGCTCGTACCTTACCACCAGTAACGATTCTGGAGCTTCGATTGGCGCTGCAAGACGAATGGGCAGCAATGCCTCAACAACTCATTGACACCCTCATTCTCAGCATGGGCAGACGCTGTGAAACCTGCCTAACAGTCAGGGAAGATCATATCCCCTATTAAAGACCGGATGTTTCTTGCTGGACACCCATCACAGGGATTTTTCGGCCTTCAGTTGCATAGCGCTCCATGCTACTTTTTCAATAAAGCTTCTTTTTATCCCTCTGATTTCTCTTTTAGTAAGTGTTGCTTACATTACTCATGTCCTTACGTATTGGGGATCTTACGGTATTAAATGTGTTGATGTGGAAAGCTTTTGTACAAAGTTATATTGAAAAAACCGTCTCGTCCTTAATTTTTGCACACCAGTGTAGTTTGTCGCAAATACATCACGCCGGAAATGCTGACAGGTAAAAATGTGTGAGTGCAACAGCCATTAGATTTGAATCCAACCTGTTTGCCATTGGCTGAGATCGACCTACATTGCGATCTTGGGCGAGTAATAACTAGGGCTACCATTATTAGAAATGGGTATTTATTAGGCAATCGAACTTTTGCACTGTTGAATAAACAAAGAAAGGAACCTGATAGTCATCCTCACCAGGTTAATGCCGTCTCTACTAGAGCTCTAAGGAAAAGAAAAATAGCTGAAGAAAAGATCTTGGAACCGACGAAGGAAGAAAATAAAGCATCCAGAGATATCTTTGAAGAAGAAGTTAAATCACCGGAATTAAACGTGGAAGATGTTCACGAAAATTTGAAAAACGATAAAGAAATTAATATTGAGAATCATTTTGCAATGCAGCGTTATCACCATTCGGTAGAAGTCTCTCCGTTGGGGAAGGGGCTGTAACAGCTTTAAATATTATTAAAATCTTGTAGTTTAAAATAAATAATTTAATTAGATGAATATTAAGGTATTTGTGAATGGCAGTATTTGAAACCAGGCTCCAGTGCCACGTGCGACTCTCGTACGAAGAATGTAATTTATTTTTAAAATGTTAGAATTCTTTCTCCTTCTTGTTTTGTATGTCGCCATTTTGAGTGCTAAATAAAGTTTTTCCGGTGTTCCATCATTGGAGTTGCTTCATATTGCCAAAGAAGTATCACAGTATCAATACTAACACACCGTGTGCAATCAGCTATAAATGTTAAAAGGAAACAAATTATTAAATTTATCATGTCACTTACTGTTTTGAAATTATAAGCATTCATATTTTACACTATTTGATATTCAATAAATTCTTTGTTATAACTCATATCCATAATGGTTTGTAATTTTCTGAACAACAGTATGCTCTCCTTACCTTAGAACTAGGTACACGTCAATTTATTTTAACCTATATCCAGTTAGGTAGTATATTCGCTCTCAGCAGTCAGTTTCAATATTGATATATCTTAAATAATTACTGAATTTTACTGCAGTTATATGCAATTACATTTTTTAATTCGATGAAAACTTTCTCTGCTAAAAGTTTCACTTTCTACACAATGACAGTAGTTTCCAAACTGAACGGTCTCTGGGAAAACATTTTGGTGAACTTTGGAAAGTTTTAAACTTTTTTACTTTTGTAATGTTTATTATTACCTCTTGGTTATAATGAATGTATTTATTTATGTATTATTCTTCTGTTACTTTATTTTATGGAATTACTGTATGCAAATATGGAAGTTGATTTTTAATAACTGCGTAACAAAGCTGAAAATCTGAGAAGCAATTTCTATAGTCACCTCATGTTTTCCTTCTTTACCATGCCTATTAAAAGACTTTATCAAATCATCATAAATGCTTATATCATATACAAAAATTTAAAATAAAGCTAATTAAAAATATTTAAACAATACCTGTCCAGTCTTTTTTCTTTCTTCAATTATTTGGAGTGTCACATTCTTAAAGAAAGCTAAGCCAGTTGGCGAAATGACGGATATTTTGAACAATCTCATAATGCTGGGCCATAAAGCTGCAATAAAGAAATCATTGATTTCAGTGCTCAAGTTCCTGATTTCAAAAGCAATTTACAATATAATAGACCGCACTATTATCAAGAATAGCATACATATTCAGTGTAAATACGAAATGCATGTATACACATGGTGATTATGTGTACCTGCAAAGTTTTAACACTGAATCATTTTCAAACTACAAAATTTTAAAACTAAAACCTTTTTTAACTATTTCCTGTTAAGATGCCGTTTATTAATCCGCGATAATGATAACTAAAACACCTGAACTAGCTTTCTTTATAAAATATCTGCTTGCGATTCTTTTTTTTTAATTTTATGTAGTTGATATATACTCAAACCGCGCAATGATATGACCATGAATTTAAACCGTACAACGAAATGTAATAACAATTCCAATTATTTAATACATCTCAAATGAAGACGAAAATAAGCATTTTATTTATGACCCTGAAACAAAACGATAATCATCTGCATGGAAGAAATTATTTTCGTTGGTCACAGAAGTCTCAAGTAAAGAGCATTCTGCTAATAGCTTTTCATTTTCTTGATATAATTCACAAATAAATGTTTACCTGACATCCTAAAAAGGTGTTTCTCAAGCTGTTTAATTCCTAATCTGAAAGCAACTGAATGCTTGTCTAATATGTTTTTTAAAAATATGTGAGAAAATAGTAAAACAATAATGAAGAGGTTGTGTTATTTCTATATTAATGAATTTAACAGTAAATGCACCATATTAAAATGAGTTACACTGTCACACAAGAATACAATCTAAAAATTCTAACAAAATAAATTTAATGAAAAGGATGAGCTTGTTTTGCTTCTACCAGTTTTCGAATATTCGGCTTCACTTTGGTTAATGGCGTTCCCAGATCTCTACGATTAGTTATTTGCAGCCAATTTCTTTTCTGAATATATAATGTGCTACTATACTGAACCCGCGTCCTGCGACGAGCGAAGGGACTATGAGAAATATCTGAGCAGCATTTCATTAAGAAGTGCATTCAGATATCTGTTTCTGCAGTCAAAATTGTTGATATCGAGATTTTAAATTTAAATTCAGCTATTCATTTGCTCATAACAAATTCATCTTCTAAATTTGAAGATGCTTCCAAAATTACATAGGAACATGAATCCAAAAGACAGTCTGGTACATCCGGTTTTAAAATACCTTGAAAAATTCTTGAAGTTCCATGCTTCCAAATGTTGGCAATATTCAAATACATCTTCGTCATTTTTTTTTTTAGTTGATAAATTTGAAAAGGAGCTAAACTTCTTTCCGTCGCAAGTTTCTTTTATACATGCGTTGGTTCAGAATGGTTATTTCACGATAAAGGATGAAATTAAATTTCCTCTTGACACAGTGTTTATAAGTACATTGTATACATAAAATGCGCGATGGTGTTAGAACTTTTTAAATGTTTTACTGAACTTATTCATATCGCCAAATATTTTGCTAATAAATTTAATATTTCTAACTTCTACACCCTCTTTTACGAAACTGAGAAGTTGGGTTCAAAATACATGCAGAATCAAAGCTTTCCGAATTAAATCTTTATTTGCTTCGTACACATATAAACTTCTCGTGCACCACAAATGTACAGCATGAGGCTTACAAGTTAACTAATAGTTAATTAGTTCAATTTAGTAATTAAAACAGCAGTCTACATTTCACAAAAATAGATACGTTCACACTGGCCAAGTCGCACAAAGCTTTGCTTTCAAACATTTCCAACATCTAGCTTGTGGAGATACGTTTTCTTATGCGAAAAGTAAAATCTCACCACAAAGAGCACTTTTTAGAGCGTTGCAGAGACTCACAGAAACCTATAGAGAAAATTATGACTAATAACCATACCATATTCAAAATTGGTCTCCGCATGAAGCCATTTTGAATCAACAATCAGGCAGAAATGAAGTTTTGATGTTTTGGGTATTGCTTTCATAGTGCATGTCATTGAAATCACTGTTGCTTTTCAAAATGTCACAGATCTTCCATCTATGCTATTAGTATGGCTCTAGGCCTTTCATAGTATGAAATTTATAAATTCGCTATGAATTTTCAAAAATGAGATTAAAACGCTACAGCCTTCACAAAGCAAAAAATAATTTAACTAATAAACAAATTTAAATATTCACTAGTACGCTTCCTCAAGCATTTGTCTTGTTAAATCATTTAACTGTTATGCATATAATAATAGAATGAAACACATATATCTATGTGTATATGCATGTCTGTATTTTAGAACGGTTCACATTTTTGAAGCAAAAGAACAAACTTAAATCAATATATTTTTATTGACAGCAAAAAAAAAAAATGTGCATTTAGTTTATGTGCAAATAACTTTGCAAGAATAACTATAACATTAAAAGAATCATCTTACAGAGAAGTGAGAAATTAATAAATTTTTAGATTTACTTCTTGTAAATTATTTGCAGTAGTACATTGCGAAGGTATTTTTCTTTTCCTTTTCTTTATTTGCATTTAATGAGAAATACATTTTTCCAAAAAATATGGTTAATTGAATTGAGCAATTAATTGAACTTTCAGTTCATCTTCCTTCTTTTAATCTGATTTATTATAGAACAGTGGTATACTTAAATAAGAAAAAGATATAACAGAATTTGTGAAATATTAAAATATTTTTCAAACACTATTACTCAGAACAGAAGCTTAAAGTCCTAAGAACTAAAGGGGCTTAATTTATATTGAAATATCGTAGATGAAACGAATGATACTCACCAAAAAGTGCTAATCTCCAACTAACAGTACTTCTGAATACACTTCTGGCAGTTTGTACAAATTTATTATTTGGGTCATTGTGTGAATCAATTTTAGTCGAAAAGGCTGAACTAGCAATAACATCCATTGTAAAAGCTCCATAAAGTCTAAAAATAAAAATTAAACTAACACACATGATTTCATTTTATTATATGGGAATAAACAGCATTAATTAGCCTTGACTCCAGTGAATGAGAACTAAACATGAATGGGAAAAAAAATTTTCTACTTTAAAGTATACTCTCTCAAGAATGATTGCAGCTGTCAAAAATAATATGTTAAAAGTATTCATTCGAGCAGCTTGAAGATCATCTTTTAGAAACTGGATTATTTAATTAAGGGAAAACATAGAGGGATTGTCTGCCTTTACCATCACAATTGTGACTGAGAGAGTTCTACAGGATGGATTTTGCTCACATCCGAAATCTGAATATCTTGTAAGCTTCTTCCCATCAATCAACTTCCTAAGTGGCTGTGATTTGAATTCGGAGGAAATTGATCCATTTCAAATTTAAATATTACATCGACACAATATCTAATTGTTGACAAAAAGGGAAACGATATAGGAGAAAACGCTATTTTATACAGTTATTTGAAATGAAGCATTGTAAATGTTCCATATAACAATGTGTCACCAATGTTAGTAGTTATTACAAAGTGAAGTCTATGACGGAAGTGCAACGTTTCTTTTGACGTCAATTCATCATTAGTAAACATGATTATGTACATTCTCAAAATGCTGCATTGGATTCGGTGAAAACACTCGAAATGGGTGCGATACGAAGCAATGAATTCACGAACTTTGCGAATACAAGAAAGGCTTCTGAGAGCGAAAAATACTTATGAATATGGCTAGACTTCCAGCGCACCACGACTCTCTCATTTTAGTAGTGAAATCTAAAAATGCAAAACAAGAAGTAAAGATAGTTCTCAAGAAGTAGGACCTTTTGGCCTAGATGCTATCTAAATCCAGTTATAGGTCAAAAGTGAAAAAGTTAGTAGAAAAAGTTTGTCGTCAATTACGGTTATTGTTGACGACCTGTAAAACTGGGGTATGTTAATTTTCCGTGCATTAGGCCATCTGCCTAAAGTAATTTTCAAAATATTAGTTTGTAATTCGGTAGCACATATTTTCCCCCATTCCTATATTTTATAACAAATGTTTGAAACGAAACAACTGATTTCGCGCCGGCGGTATAAGCGTCAAATCTGTTTTGAAGATGGTTTATATTATACTAAAGTGAAAAAAAAAGCATTTAAAATTTCTTCGGGTGTCCTTTCAAATTCCTTATGTGGTATTAGCATTTAAACATTGTATTAAATGGTTAAGCAAATATTTTCAACAATTTAGAATCATATTTTGTTTAAAATTGAAATGCACAAGTAAAAGAATAATATTTACGTTTTAGCTTCCACGGGTTCTCCTTTTTCGGCAAATTTTCTAAAATTTTCCACTAACGTTTTAGAGCAATCTTTAAGGATGCTCATCATCTAAAAATGTACATCTTTAATGAGAATAAAATTTTGAATTCAAAAATCCAATAAATCTAAAATAAAACTATAAGGTTCTTTAATTAAGACATAGAGCAAGCATCTACGAACACATGAAGTAAAATACTTTAATACCTCTAAAAACTAAATTTTATACATAGAATTCCGAAAATGAATCACAATTAAGCTCTACTATCGATACACGTTTATAAAAATGCAGGTAACAAAACAAATGATAGTCACTGATTCACAATATTACGGACAAATAAAAAATAGTACATAGAAAATTCAAGCAAATATTAATATTAGTTTACAACGATGTAAATTAATTGTAACAAAATTTACACATTCATTTACCAGAGTTATCTTACAACAATTAAAATTCTCAAACGAAATTTTTTGATCCGGAAAATTCCCTCACTTAGAAGTGGGTCAAAATTAAAAGTGCTTAAAAGTTCAATGACTTATTATCAATTTTTCATTACCTTGTAGTCTTTCTCCCTTTTACCTATTAACTAAGTGTGGAGGAGCCTTGTGGACTACTAAGCGAATAATCGAAAAGTCCAGAAACAGAAGCGTAAAACTCAAGAAGGGTTAATTACGATTTACTACTCAAACTAAAGTTGTACAGACATTCCCTTTCTCAGCATGTACAACAATGCCTCCACTTCGGCTTAAACTTAAAAATATAAGAACTTAACTAATGACTAACTAAGAGATTTATTCGAAGCCAACACAATTCTAAATTAGTTGGCCCCTAAATGTCCAATTAGCTAGCGAAGCTATCTAGGGCCGGTAATACGGCCGAGCGTAGTAACACCTTAGAGAGCCGTGGCACAAAGGCAAACGAGCGCTAGTCAGAAACTTTGATACTCTCTCTCGAAGTCAGTGGAACTTCGACTTAAGCACTACACCTTCTCATCTGCATTAAACACGATACTAAAAACACATTCTTGTAAGGAATTTGTAAGCTGAAACTAGGAGAGATATGAAAGGAGCTTAAAAATAACTGTTATGAACTTAGGATAAACCTTACAACCTTAATGACATTCGAACACATATTTACGCAGTACAGCTTCATTTATTTTAGAAAACAATTTTATAAATATATTTTGATACATATGATAATATAGCGAAGAGAATTTAAACTCTTAACATTGGTTTAAATCGCTCATTGGGGAAACGTAGTAGAAGAGAGTTACTAGAAATAAGGAAGCTTAATCAGAAATGGAATGAAACAAATTGAAAAAAAAAAAATTGCGCGCAATTTCCAGACGCATTCAAAAGCAACAAGTTTTTACTCCTGTCTCATTTTGTATAGACGCAAGGAAAATATATCCCCCTCTAGCTTGGATGTCTCAGGGTTTTGTAATCATCTTTCATGGCAGATGCATACATTTAAATGTCCGAGTCGATTTTTAGCAACGAATGTTGCAAATATCCGAGCCTCATCTTAGATTCATACATAAGCCCAAAAGATTCGGAAATTTCCTGCGTCTTCCCATTGCACAGACAAAAGAGTAGTCGATCGTTTCACTATTCATTTTTATTTCTGTAAACTTTCGAGACTTCTCGCACTCAGCCATGCATGTAGTTTTAGTGCTTTGCCCCATCTCTAATGTCTCTTACTGAAATGATTTACTGTCGTTTGTTACTTTTTGACGTCTTCTAGTTCCTAATCAATACTATTTTTATTGTATTAGTAATTAGGGGAAGCATGCAAGAGCTGTTTATCTTAAAAAAGGTCTTTAAGGAGAATATTCTAAGAGCATGGAATCACATTCAAATTATGAAATACCATACAGCTAACTTCTTCAGCTGCAGAAAACCGCTCTTAGAACAAATTTGCCAACATTCAGTAATTATTTCCACTTGGCTATTTTGGTATTTGTGTTTAATACAAATACCAGTTCTGTTCAACAGAAAAGCATCACCAATAATCACAACAAAATGTAAAAATAAATCAAAAAGTCAAAATATCTTGCATACATCTTTATGACCAAATTTAGAAACTCATAATTTTTAACAAAATTTTTTTAAGTAATTTAAAGAAATAAACAATAATTCTTACTCTCTTAATTTTCCCTGTAGTGAAAGTTGGTGTAACGATAGTTCGAACCCTCTTCCAGTCTTCTCCTCGCAAAGTAGACATCATATTTTCTGTAACTGGGTTGCCAGTACCAATGGGCTAGCGAGAGGAAAAAGACCATTTTTGTGTTACAAAGTTACAACATTTCCTCATAAAACTTAATATAAATGGAATAAATTTTACTTATATTAGGTTTTAGTAATTTTATACTTATTATATCATTTCCAACAAATCACTATTCAAACGTTTCATAATAATATTCTGTAAAAGTAACCAGTTAACCAGTCTGCTAAAATAAAGAATTGTTGCTGAAAAAAAGGTCTAGGTCGGTAATTAACCTGGCAGAGGACCTGTGTAATAGTTAATAAAAAGTATCTAACTTTAAATTCACTCGGATTAAAGTTTTTCCCTCTGAATTTTAATTCACATCTGAAAGAGTTTTCACGGGGTTTTGTTTCCAAATCTCAGACCGAAGTGTTAAATGTGAAATACTAAAAAAAAATATGTTCATTATTATTATTTAAGAAGTAATAAAAACCTTTCAGTATTTTGATAACTAATCAAAAACGTTTATAATATAAGCACATAATATAATTCCACTGTAAAATTTCTCTCTCCCATTTAACACTATTACCTCTATCTAAAATGATATTTAATAATATTAAAAATTTTTACAGCAAATATGATTGATGATTAGCTTATTTGAATTATGACAAAGCACGCCAGGTCTATCTGCCTCATGAGGAGGGATATCTTCGCAGAGCATGTTTTAAGGGAAAAAAGCTCGTAATCACGTTACATACTGGAAAAGCAATAAAATCTGCTACGCAGACGGCCCGTTCGCTAAGATTTGAACTAGGATAGTGTTCAGGGATTTTACCTTTTCGCCACTGATAGGCTTATAAAAACATGTAGCGTACTGTCTATATATTCGCTCCTTTTTAACACTAAAAGGGTAGATCTAAAAAACGAAAGGTTACAAGGGTAATAAAGCGCTGGACGATGAGGCCCTGAGAGCAGCCATAAAGAGTGACAGTAGCCAAACATGTGGTGAGCTTGCTGCACACATCCCAGGTATCGGATGAAATGATCAGACTCCATTTGCACCGCGAAAGGCATGCAAGCTGAGAAAGTGGGTGCCCCGCTCATTGTCCGATGCAAACAAGCAACAGTGTGTCGCTGCCTGTTTGTCATTGCTTACTCAGCACTGCAATGCATCCATATTTGATCGAGTACTCACCAGCGATGAAAAGTCTGTCCAGTATGATACACTCAAGCGTTCCATGTCATCACGGGACCATGTTCCTCACATTGCGAGACCGTCTCTTCACCCACGCAAGATCATGCTCTGTATCTGGTAGATTTAGTCGCCAAGTGGTGCACTATGAGCTCCTCCCAGTGGGACAAACCATCACGGTAGGCCCGTACTCGCAGCAGTTGGAACGTGTGCATCTGGCACTGATGCATAAAGAGGCAGCATTGGTCAATCGTAAGGGTGTACTCCTCCTCCATGACAATGCGAGGCAGCATGTGCTCGGCAGGCCAGGGTCTGGGCCAGCGACTGGGCTGTGAGACACTACCCCATCCACCATACTCCCCAGGCCAACAGACTACCACCTTTTCCATTCCTTGAACAACCACCTTTGTGGTAGATCCTTCATCAGTCGACCAGACCTCGAAAAGGCTCTCACGGACGTCTTTGCGTCCAAGATTCCTGAGTGTTACCGCGATGGGATCGCACAATTAACCACTCGTTGCCATAAGGCATTGGATGCCGATGGTGATTACTTTGAGGATTAGCGGTGATTATTATTTGTTTTATGACTTTTTCTTTTTGACTGTCGAAAACGGCAAGAATGTTTTTGGTTGCCTTGTACCTTAATTAAAAAGACTTAATATCGGACCTTCATTCATTAGAAAGTTTCGAAACTTACTTGTGAATGGAGCTTTGCGTATATAATAACAAACCTTCAGATTTTTTTTTAACTCCAGGTTAAAAGAAGGCTACATTAAGAATAAAATATATTTAAGAATATATACAAAGAAATAAAATGATTACAGAAGCATCTCATTATTGGGATGAAAACAATTACTTTCGTTTCCGCCGGCCAAAATTATTAATGTCATTTATTCGCGCTCAGTTTGGATTTCTTAGAGGCTTTCAAAATTTTACCTCGTAGAATCTCGTAAGTGATTCAGCTTTTGCTTCATCTTCATTCCTGTCGAAGGCATTTATAGCTAGTTCCAAAACCAAACTCTCTTACTTGGAGCAAGCCCTACAAATTCCGCATGAGTCAGTATAATTTCCACTGCTTTCGTCTTAGGAATAGCATTGCGATAAAGCTACGCTGTACTTCAATAAAACGTCGATCGACTAGAAGTTTCTAATCAGTTTTGCTTATTTATATTGAATTTTAGATTGAATTTCGTTCTTTACTTACCTAACCAATTGATGATGACATGAAATTTTCACCACGTTCAAGCTTTACGTGAGCTCCCAAAATGTAACTCCATTCTCGCTAAGTTATTATAATCTAGTACTATAAATTAAAAGTAAGAAATCAAGATTCCCCTTGATGCTGTTATGAAAATCTGGATTTGAAGCTCAAAACGAAATGAGTGATTTCCCATTTCCTTTTGATGTCTTCAGATGTCAATTGATGTCTTTAGACTCCTTGTGATCATATATTCAAAAGCAAAACGAAACAAAAATTTATAGCTGCAAAACATTATTGCCAATTTCGTTTTACTCAGAAGGTTTGTTGCCATATATTCCATTTACTGATCCAGATTGTGGCACTGACTACCACGATCTGGGGCTTCACATGTAGTGATAGCTCGAGAAAAGTATTTAAATCTGTTTGTCCTTTTTTCTGGCTGTTTATCACGATCAAATCAAAAATTGTATTTCGTAACACTATTTATAATACCGTTGCAACTGGTTTACCACCAGCATGATAGGACATTATAAGTAACTGATTCAAAAAATATCTAAATTCATGTTATTCAAGTCCTTCTATGAGAAATAAAGGTATAACTAATTCTCTCACTCCATACGCAGTAAATATATATAGAATACACTTACAAAATAAGAAAGACAGTTTGCTTTTCTTGCGATCATGATTTGAAATAACAAAGCGAACACTCACTCGTCTCCCGGTAAAAAACTGAAAATCTTTCACAAATATGTCTCTTAATAGAGCTGGATCCGCAACTGAAAGCACGGCTCTGTTACCTTCGTAATGCCTGAAAGACAAGAATTTATCTGACTGCATAATGTTTCCAACATATAAAATCAAATTTATCACTGCATAAAGAGATCTCCGAATAATATAATTCACCCTAAATGGTAAGCAAAATAGATGGTTATCTTTACATAATGTTGCCTCCTGTGGTCGTCTAATGTACTGATGTACAAATGAGATTTCTACTCTAACAGTATCAGCTGTGGGAGCATAAGATAGATGAACCGGAGTCCTATTTATGATCTCACGGGGCAGTTCAGTGCGATGACGACAGTACGTATGGTAGCCTCCATCTATCCTTAGCTATTGAGATAGCGTGTCCATCCAAGACTGGGTTAAGGCCAACAATCAATCTGCCAGAATTTATAAGTTGCTCTTTATAATTTATATGCGAACCTTCTCAGGTGGCCGCAGACCATGAAACACGAATTCCTGGTCCGGAGCCCTGTCCCAGGCTAACAAGATATGTGATAAACGTAACATGAAAACATAACGTATAAATAATATAATAACGCCTTGCCGAAAAAAGAGTTGAGTCAAAAGGGTTGGTCTTGGAGTACTGTAAATACAGTAGCTCGTACTATAATAATAATTCTTTATATTTATTGTTCAATGTTTTATGTTCCAGAAAAGAGTTAAGGCAATTTTAAATTATCATAACGTCTCTAATATAAATGGTACTATTTTTCGCAATTTAATTTTATTCATAGACAAATTTGTACACGCATTCAGTGTGAACGCTATGTGTCACATGAACAACGTATAAGCGATAATAATCAAAGTTCAGACATTATTCATTCTAAAATTTGATACTTTGCATCTTTTAACTGATTATGTCAACAAACGTATAATTCCAGTATCTTTTAACTGGTTATGTCAACAAACGAATACTTCCAGTCTTAAATTCACTATTCATCAGAATGTTTCGAATCTAACAGCCTAATATAATCTGTACACTAGCGTAATAACTTATGGTTTAACTTAATTTAAAACTTAAGAACTTGATGATTTTATACATTCTGACGAATAAACAAAAGATCGTAAGTATTTAGTTATTAAGTTCATAGACTTGTACTTACTGTGATGAAATTAATTCAGATAATTTCCTAATGCCGATCAAATAAAAAAATATTATACTTTTAAAACAGTTTATAATACTCTAGATGAAAACATATACGAAGTCAATAAATTTGCTTTGAAATATGACATACATGTTACATAAAATCAAAATGAAGGGCAATAGTTAGGTAGGTTAAGATAATTTGCAAATATCTGTAAAAATATTTTCCACGCAAGATGAATATGTGTGCAATTCATATATAAATACTTTATTTAAAAAAATTCATCCATTTTTTTAAGTAACGCCCCTAAGCAAACAAAAGGTGACCTTGCCTGATAAAGGATTAGAACATAGCAAAAGGAAATAGTGCTTAGATAAACAGACAACGATTTAGTCTGTTATCATTATTAGAACTTATGCCGACCATTTTTCATTTAAATACGATAATTACAATAATCAATTTATTTTATTGTTTTTAAAGGGGTTTTTTATCGATTTTTTTTATCAAAAAAATCTAATCGTAGATTTGTCGGTACTTGAAAAATCTCTCTTCCAGACACATGATTTTGTCAACATTTTAGAAAATAACTATGACAGTAACTAATGTAATCGCGTTTATTCACCTATTTCGATAACAGTAATCGAATGATAACATTAAATGATGAGAAAAATTATCCTTCAAAATAGCAGCGGAATTTAACTAATTTAATATAAATACAATTAGAAACATCTAAATAAGTATTTCCACAGCATTTTAATTAGAAAGATTAGATAATTATTTATGAATTATTCATAATGTCTTTCATGCAAAAGTTCATTTACGAACTGTTCATAACATTTCTGGAAATAATTTGAAAAATGCTGCAACCCTAATCGTAATACTCGGACGGCATCATTCATTAAAAGAAAACATACCAGGATAAAATTTAAAATTAGGCAAAAAAGGAATTTTACTTTTAAATAGAAGTTTTTAGATGGAAAAAAAATTCTGCATAATTGTTTTTTACTCTTGAAGAGAGACCTGTGTCTCAACGCTCCTCAAAATCGATAGAGTTAACGCATATGTATGTCAGACTGAGATTACTTTTTTGCCTTATTTTAAATATTTGATTGAAATCGAAATCAAGCCGTTGGAAACTTAATCCTTTACTTGATGATATTTCTCTAACACTTGGCAGTTTTTATAATCTATTTCGACCTTATGTGACGACTTTACTTCAGTTTTATCATATTAACCGAACTGTTGAAAACAATGAGCGAAGTATTTTCGGTGTTTTATTATACAAATGGGCGGGGCATATGCAACTCAATAGCAATATATGCATGATAACACTAACCGCGATCGTAATAAGCGGAGTCTATGGTGGGAATATAATTGGCCTGTTTTCACAACCTCGAAAGCTTTCAAATAAAATTATTACTATGCATATAATTACGCATTATGTTTTGTGTTGAGCTGATACTGATTGTACTGATTTTATACCAAATGATGGAATTTCTTTCGTTAATTTATTATGCATATAATATGTTTATTACCAAACATTTACTGTATGCATGCCGTCTGCAAAAAGAATTACTTAAATTATATAAAATTACTGCAATAGGAATAGAATAAACTTACCCATAAACAAGACCATATTTCTTGTATCTATCCAATTCGACTTCGGATAAAGGCTGCAAAGAGACATATTAGAAGAATAAAAGTAACTTTCTGTTTTCTTTCAGCAGAAGAATTTACAGAACAGGTTACGGTTTTGCACAAACATATTTTGTTTTAATTTTTACAGTGTAGATTATGTTTCTTTGTTTTTCCTTTTATTTTGCAGCTACTAAAGTTTGCTATCAAAAGATTTAGATTTAAGTCCGTAACAAACATGAGAAAATAATCGAAGTCAATAAATTCGCTTTTGAATATCTCTACGAATTAATTTATAAAGTTAGAGAAGTTTTTTCTTTTAACTTGTAGCGCTCCTTCCTTTTATTCTACTAAACTAAGTGTTGAGGAACCTAGTGAACTACTTAAGCGAATAATCGCTTAAGTCCGAGAACAGGAACGTAAATTCCAGAAGGGTTGTTACCCTTTATTTGCTCAAAATAAAGATTTACAGTTGACCCCTTTATCAAAGTGTACAATAAGCCTCCACTTGGGCTTAAACTCAAAATGTAAAACATAAGAACTAACTAAAGACATTTAGCCGAAGTTCACACAGTTCTAAGCTAGTTTGCCGTAGTATTAAATTAGCCAACGAAACTATCAAAAGGCACGTAATACAGCCGAACGTAGCAGCAGTTAGAGAGACGTAGCCGAAAGACAAACTTGCGCTATTCCAGGAATAACTCTCTCTCTCGAAATCAGTGGAACTTTGACTTAAATACTTTCAAATTCTCATTTGCATTTAACGCGATTCTAAAACCTCATTCTGGTAAGGAATTGTAAGCTGAAATAGAGAGAGAGACTACGCAGTTAGTAGTTATTTACACTAGATAGGTTCATAAGTACAGTTAATCTGTGATTGGTTAATTTTAGTTACCTTTTTGAAGCAGCGTTATGTAACATGGAAAGATCTCAAATTTGGGAGAACAGATGAATTTAGGGGGAGAGAATAAAATCCAGAATCGTTAATTTTGAGGTCGCCAATCATTCTTAAAGCAGCCATCGTGTTTTGTTATATCTTACATACATATAAATAGAAATAAATAAAGACCATTAGATTTAGTAAGCATTTTTCAGATATTCCAAGCTCAAATTTCGAAACTCATTGTAAATTAAAATTTTAACAACAAGAAATCAATTAAAAATACCAGTGAAAAATATAACGCGATTGGTCGCTACTCTTAGGAAAGCAAATGGAACCACGAATCAGAAGAAAATATCGCAAAAACTGTAAAGAAAACTTCAAAAACCAGTCGAATATTTCTGGTTCGGAATTTACAGGCTCAATTATGAAATGGTGAGAAATTTACTTACAGAGAGATTCCTGGTGGGAAATTTTACATCTCTGACCTCACCAGTCACTCCGTAAGTCTTCCTAAACATTTAAAACTTTTCAGTATTTGACCCCTCTGAATCATTATGATAACAAAATATTTTATTTTTCTGCGTATCTTGTTTGCAGATAATATGACTCGATCGACATTTGAAATTTGGTATCATTTGCACTGACATTTAACAATTCATTAACATCATTTTCATTAGAATTTAGCTTTCTTAAAATCTCCTTCATATTGTCTACGGGTTCGTGGCTGTGTCTCCGGATTATCACTCGGGGTTAGCAGGGAAAAAAGCCATAAATTTATTATAAAAGTAATTACTGGTGCACTACAAAATAAATAGTTGTAAATAGTTCAAGGAGAACGTGGTTTTAAATAATTCCTCCTCAGCGCATGAGAAATATCTTGAAATCCCCAAATGACTCACAAAGTGAAGGCTAAAACTTAATTCTCTGTGAATTAACTCTTTCATCTCTCGGAGCAACGTTTATATAATGTAGCAAGAGCTTCTGGAAGCTTCAAGAAAAATCGATCGCAGGAGTTCGAAAATATGTTCCCCCAAATCTTTTCTTAAAGTCGCTAAGTTGAAAAGAATTTTCCAGATGTTGCCAACTTGGCAATAAATATTGCCTTTAAGACTAACTAAGTAGTGTATTTATCCATATTGTGGTTTACTTAAGCTATTTTTACAGTTTAAACGTCGTTGGCTTTTAAGATCTACAATTCTTTCCAAGAAATACACATTTATATATAAAGCATATGGTCTCAAATTCAATTAAAAATAAAATAAACGCTGAGAGTATTAACAAATAAACAATAACTAAATAATACAATGCACAAAATCAACAATGCAAGCAAATTTATTTTAATATTTATTGAAATTTACAATAATATCATAGATTTTTCATTTCTAATATTCCTCTATTTCATTATGACTTTTTTTCCTACTTAAAACTAACTTCACAATTTCTTTAATTTAGATATTTTACCGTACCATTTCTAAATTTTTCTGATTTGCGGTTTAATATTGGAATAATCGAAGAGTTAAACAGTCCGGATAACTTTATTCAAATAATCGGAATTTCTGTATACGCAGAAAAAGAAACATCAGCAACCAAGAAAATCTCAGAAATGTGATGCATTTTTAATGCATCACATTTCTGAGATGTAATTTTTTAGTTCTTTGTACTTACGCAATGGATTTCAGTCAAAATAATACTTAAGGAATGTCGTAATCATAATGCTTTTTAATACATTGGATTTAATGCAGATTAGAATAATTTAAATTTAACAAATAAATTTCGTGAATTTTAAAGTATTTCACTAGTAAATAAATGAGTTTACCTTTGACATATTTTCAAGAACCGAACCAAATATGGGAAAAGGCTTTACGAATGGAATATCTTTCTTCTTCCAGTAAGAGTGGCTCCTAGTCGAGTATCTGAAGAAAGTATCAAAATAAACAATCAGCAGCAATGGATGCATTTAAATTCATTATATCTACTACTTTTGTAATTTTCAGTACATCATAATGATATAGAAACTGAATTTCTTTATCAATAAGCGTAATAAATGGTTAAAAAAATAATCATGGCGTAGCTAGTGAAACGGACAGGAGCGAGTAAATTCATCCCGCTAAATAAAAGTGCTATTATCAATAATTTCCATAACGATATTATGATCTTTCCTCAAAATCAAAAACAATTTTCAAGATTTAATCTTGTAAGAAACGAAGAACGTGGTGAAATATTAAAAGGGTAGAAAGGTAACAAAAAAGCTAAAATCAAGGGATTCTTTTAGTTTTCTAAAATAACGTCACAGTTTTCAATGCATTAATTTGAAACTATAAAATAAAGTTTTTTTTAAACTTAATCATTCTTTTTCTCAAATAAAAAATGAGCCTTTTGAATAGAAAAATCCTGTTACAAAATTTATCGGAAACTTTTTGTTATATCAAATACAAATTAACCCTTTAACTGTCAAGTTATTTTGATGATTTGGGTACACAAATTGTCAAATTTTTTTATTGGAAAAACCAAATGTAGCCGAAATAAACATCTCCCGATATATAATCGGGTATGACAATACAATGCACTCAAAAAAAAATTACCCCGAGAAATACTCGGGCGTGACATTTTTGAACACCAGTGCTGTGCCCGAGATAATCTCGGGCATGACAGTTAAAAGGTTAAACCCCACACATTTCTTAACATATTCATGACACACGTTGGATTGTTATTAGAATTTAAAGCACATTTTATCACTTCATGGCGTAGATTCCTTGTTATTTTACTGAAAATGTAAATTACAGAAATATGCAGAAAATGGTAGTGTTTCTAAGATCTTTAGAATTTTGAAAGTCAAGTAGGACTTTGAGAAACATTTTGAAGAAAGAGAAAAGCGTAATACGATAATATGAAAGAAAAATAGAAGAATTAGTAAAAGAATCAATTTTCAGCGAGATATATCCGTCCAAATCAGGTACAACGAGTACCATTGAGCGTTCGTTTAGTGCATTGCACGAAGTAAAAACTTGATTACTCGCAGCAGTCAGAAATAATCATTTGAATGGGGCGTTGTATATATATAAAATAAGCATAGAAAGCTCTTTAAAGAAAGCCTAGAATTAGCAAAGTAACCTCGGTCTAAAATGTTTTAGCACAAATAGAAGAAAATGTATCATAGTGAAAAAAAATATTGAATATTAATTTAAAATAAACGTATTTTCGCAATAATCTGTTTAGCCATTTCTTCCAGTTTTCAACCGTAAACAAATGTCTGCTCAGGCTTATGTACATAATGTCATTAGTCCAAAGGGATTTCAGTCCCGAAGGACTATTGCTTTCGTTTTGGCATTTTGCGTCGGACTCATAAACGTCGGTTCACTTTTCAAACTGTTGCCACAAAATGTTAGAGTCCTGCATTATATTTGAAGAAATTAAATAATGAAAAATCTGCATAAATGATTGTCTATTTCTCGCATTGTGATAAAACAATGGTACATAGAGCCATCGAATTTTGAATGACGAAATCCTACTGCGAATATGGGCATTTGAAATCCCAAATTTGGAATTTGTTTTATTATAGATTTTATATTTTGTAAAACTTTAAAACGAATTTTTGATTTACAAACTCAATGCTTTAAAAGCGAGAAATGGCAACGTTATATAGAAAAAAAATACTTTTATCTCCAGCTCGCGAGACTGTGTATATCGGAAATTCTAAAGATATGCTTAATTTAACATTATTTTGCGATATTGCTCTTGAACTGAATTTTATGGTTTAAGTGCAAAGAACATGATATTTAATAAATAAAGGTAACACTCAAAACGTTAAAAAAACGCCCCTTTGGACGTAATTTAAAATCTGAAAAATTTCAGATTTTTTTAGTCCAAAGGGATTTGAATCCCGAAGGACTATTAGTTTCGTTTTGGCATTTTGCGTCGGACGGATAAATGTCGGTTCACTTTTCAAACTGTTGCCATAAAATGTTAGAGTCCTGCATTATATTTGAAGAAATTAAATAATGAAAATCTGCGTAAATGTATGTATATTTCTCACATTGTCATAAAATAACGGTACACAGAGTCATCGAATTTTGAATAACGTAATCCTCCAACGAATATGAGCATGTGGAAGACCAAATTTGAAATTTGAAATTTGTTTTATGATCGATTTCCTATTTTTTAAAACTTTGACGAATTTTTGATTAACAAACTCAAGGATTTCAAAGCGAGCAATGGCAACGCTGTGCAGAAAAAAACATTTTTATCTCCAGCGCGTGAGTCTCTGTATCGGAAATTCTAAAGATATGCTCGTTTTAAAACTATTTTGCGATATTGCTGTTGCAACTGGATCTTATGGTTTAAGTGCGAGGAACATGATATTTAATAAAGAAAGGTAACACACAAAATGTTAAAAAACGCCCCTTTGGACGTAATTTAAAATCTGAAACATTTCAGATTTTTTTTTATTTTATTTATTTATTTTTTTATTATTATTATTTTAATATTTAAACTCGAATCCGCCTCCAGTCATTCTTTCAGTGTAAGTTTATTTACCCTTTCTTTACCCAGATATTGGTTACACCCACCAAAATAACTAAGAGTTCAAACAGAGCTTTAATTTTAATTACAAAATGATGATATTATGGTTATATACATTATTCTTAGCGTGATTTACGGATCTGAATTAGCGAATTCTTAATTTTTTTGCATTAACAAGAAAGTCTTTATATGCATAACAATTATTTTAAATTCATCAACAAATGGAAATTGTTTCTCAGCGTCTGCCTTTATATTAAATTTTATTTTAATTAAATAATTTTTTTAAACTTTCAAATTTTATTTTAATAATTAAAGATTTGATCACAATTCTCGATATTATTTTCATCTAACTGGAAAATGTTTTAGATTTTTAAAATAACATCATAGTTATTTTAGATTTCACAGTCATACACATTTTAAATATCTGTTTTCAGTTTTGATTTAGAAAAACGAGCGCTCTTAAAATTAATACGTTTGGAACTCCTACTCCACGAAAAGTGTTGGGATGTAAACAAACGACACCATGACCATTTTTATATGGGTAAATTAGAAGGATTCTCTCAATATTTTTATAATTATAAAATTTGATATACGAGAAAAATATGCATTTAGATCTTTCCTTACAGAATTAGATCTCTTAGATACAATGTTTAGGAAATGTTCAGAAGAATGTTGCTTTAACTGCATTTAATGATGCTTCCATAAATGCAAAAAATACACTTCAGGGTAGAAATTTGTTGTAAACTAAAGTGGCAGATATAGTTACACACTTTAATGAAGCTATATTTATTCGGGACAGAGTACTCAAAGCGTTTAGGACAGCTGCAGACAAACCATATACAACGCACTTTGATCATTACCAGAATCCCTGTTTGTTAGCTAAAATAATGATAAAAAAGTCAATAAAGTTGCCGTAACCCTTTAAAAACAAACTGAAAAAAAACCGAAACTTCAAAGTAATCATTGCAATCAAGGCATACAAAACCATTGAGCGTTCTAATGTCAAAGCTTGCTGAATTCATTATAATATTTGTAATGCTTATGTAAAACTAAATAGCTATTATGATTTTGATCTTTACTTCAACTTCTTCTTTCCGTATTCTTCACCAGAAAACAAATTAAGTTGTGTATTGAAGCCAAGGGCTTTTGGATCTTGGGAGAGAGAGTATTTCTGGCATTCGCGCTGCTTGTTAAAATTCTGACAGGTCTAGCTAAATATAATTACATCAGCAATTACTTTGCATGCTACCGCAGCGCCAATACTTTAAACTTACGCGCTGGTAAATTATTTAAGCCAGCTTTTAGCTTAATATATAACTGTATAATCTAAGACTACATATCAATGTTTAAATTTATTTGACAGTTAATATATATTAACCGCCCAGTCAGTACAGTGGTTAGGGACGCTGACTGCCGTACCGATGGGCCCGTGTTCGAATCCCGGAAAAAGTACGAATGTTTTTAAACTTAATAGTGTTTGTGCGGCAAGGGTACTCAAAACATATGACGATGCGAAAGTCCTCTTGAGAGGCTGAAGGTAGGGAAAGGGGGTGGATGACCCTCGGGGCCGTCTCCCGGATGTTCTTCCTCAAAACAGAAGCACAGTTAATGAAGCTGAACTGCACAGTTAATGAAGTGGGTCTATATCTGTATGACCAATAGTAAATTTCTATAGTCTCGCCAACTTCTACCTATACCTACAATGTGTTGTTAATTTTTGCATCGCAACAAATCGTGGTGTTCTAGTGCTACAAAACAACCACGACTTGCTGCATTTTGTTAAAAGTTCAATTTAATAGAAAGTTGTATAAACCATTGTAAATCTTTGCCATGCTATTTTAGACATAGTGATAACTCGCTATCTGTCTAGTAAGGTTAAAGGATTCAGGTTCCAGTATTACGCCATGTATAACCTTAATATTTATTTGGGCATTTTTATTATGTGTCATATTTAATGAGGCATATACGTATGACATCGTTTTAATGTCATGTATAAATGTTTTTCTGATTCTGACATGCCCATTTTGTTAAATGAGTGAAAGTGTCCAACTTTATTAATTTGAAGGCGCTGCTCACGAAAATTACATTAAAAAAGTTTGAATGGCTCTCGTTTCAGTGCAACACATGAGGAAATGGGTGTTCAGTTCTTATGTAAACTGACTATGCAAGGAAGTACTGTTGAGCTTCTGACAATGTAACCTGTCATCCACATCGTCTGATTTTTCGCAAATTTGCTACTTTTGACAAATCTGTGATTTTGCGAAATTTTTGCTACTCCATCATATTTTTGTGTTACGTTTTGAGACTTGAAACATTGGTAAATATACCATAAAATGCTTATGTGTTAAATAAATGCACCTATTAAAATTAATTTATAATAATAATATATTGTTGC